GAAATATCGTTGGGCTGTGATGAGAATCAAGGAATTTATTTTATATAGCCTAATGAATGCTGTTTTGGAAATTAAGTGTTGAACTGATTTGGCATTCGTTGAAATTGATTGACTTGTTTTGAGATTGTTTTGAAGCTTTTAAATACAGTATTCATTTGTTAATTCAGGAACAACGAATAAAAGAACGGCACCAGGTCCTGAAGTCAAACCTTATGAATGTGATGTTTGTAGTAATAAAAGATTTTCCACCGTAAAGTCTGCAGAGCGACACAAAAAGGCACACACTGGAGTGAAACCTTATCAGTGCAATGTTTGCCAGAAACAATTTGCCCCGAGGCGATAGCCTGAAAAGGCATAAACGAACACACAACAAAGATAAACGTTATCAATGTGATGTTTGCAACAGACGATTTGCAGATCCATCCAATATACTTCGCCATAAAAGAACGCACAATGGGGTGCAATGTGATGTTGGTAAAAAGCGATTTCATCACATTGGGAATCTAAACCGTCACAAACAAACACATACTTAAACCTCCGATTATAAAATAAGAACCTTTAAAATAGACAATGTTTGACGGCCAATAGCCACCTTAATATATTGGGAATCTAAACGGGTCATTCCGGGAATCATTGGGAATCTAAACCGTCACAAACAAACACATACTTAAACCTCCGATTTTAGTAAAATAAGAACCTTTAAAATAGACAATGTTTGACGTATTTAGTGGTCCTATTTCAACAAAAACTATCTAAGGCCACTTAAAAAAAATAGTTGGTTAGCGTCCTTAGCTTTTGCCAAAAAGTGAGCGGGCAGATGCTTTTTTTTAATTATTACTAATTTTTAACGCCTTGGTTTTAGGTCCGAAACTGGATTTTGTTGCGCAGTACAGATATATTTTATACATTTCAAAATATGATTCATACCGTCATTTTCGCACGCAATTTCGTAACTTATTAACACAATTGACTACAGTCAACAGAAATACTACATATATTAGAGCCCGTTGAATCAATAAAAGTTGTATTTTTTTAAAATAAAAAATAAAAAAAATCCTGAGCAGGGCCTTTTTTGTGGGCGGGCGAGGACGCTAACCAACTATTTTGTTTATGTGGCCTAATGGACATTTAGATTGACGTGTCCAAAACTAAAATCCATATCTGAAAACCGTAAGGAGATATACTTGTGTTTATACATGTAATTTTGACGCTAAATTTTTTTGTAGATTTCTGATCTCAATATTGAAAGTGGATTGACATACTACACGTATAAAAACTTCTCTATCTTATTGTTCTTTTTACATATGTCTTTCGTTCTTGGACACAGCAATGTACTTGGCCTTCACATGAGTTGAGCTGTATCCTAGCTACTTTTGGGATTATATTAAGGTAGCCACCTAAACTTAGGTTATTTTTACGAAGTAAACCTCCATTACTACTTATTTTATTATTATTATTATTTAAAAATCTTTATACACGGTAACTTTTCAGCAATATATACGTACATATAATTTATATAAGTAAACATGCTTTTCAAAAGGCATTGTGATTACGCTAAAATTACAATTTTTGAATATAATTACAATACAGGACAATATACATAATTACACGTCTAATACATTTAATACGCCATAACCCACTATATACCAAATCATTGAATCAAGTTAATTACTTTCTTTCTTTCTGAAATGCTCTGTGAGTTCAAGACGAACTTGCAGAAAGCATAATTAATATTCCTGGTTACACTGTATTTCGCAGAGATAGGAAAAGTGATGATCATGGTGGTGTATCTGCTTATATTCGAACTGAAAAATGTAATTACAGACGAATGGACGAATTAAATTGCTGTGAGAATCACGAGATCTTGTGGCTTTACTTACAACCTGACCGCTTACCTCGGGGTTTCTCATGTATAATTGCAGGATTGGTGTACCACCCACCCAAATCAAATCACTCACAATGGCCGAATCCAAATACCCCAACTGTGGTATATTAGTTACTGGTGATTTTAACCGCCTAAATATTAATCGTTTATTAAATCACTTTCGCCTTAAGCAAATAGTAAAAGTACACACAAGGAAAGATGCTATTTTAGACTCATGTTAACGAACATGCATGTGTACTTTTGTGCACCGAAAGCATATGCACCTTTCGGTCTGTCTGACCATAACACTATTGTCGCAGAGCCCAATGTCATAGCGCCAAAAGGCAACAATAAGAAAGTAATAATAAGACGGGACTATCGGGCAAGTCGTAAAGCTGAAATGGGAAGATATTTGAGCCTCTTTGATTGGTCACAGTTGTTTGCTCCCTTGGATATAGTAGTGAGGAAAAGTGGTTGGTTTTCCATGAAGTAATACACAATAGGCTTAACTTATTAATGCCGGAAAAACGTATGGAGGTCAGCGCTGTTGATGCACCATGGATGAATAAGAAATTAAAGACCCTGATTGTCAAAAGACAAAAGGCGTTTAATAAGAATGGAAACGGTTCCCTTGATTTTAAATACTACAGGAATTTAGTCAACCGTGAAAGAAAGGCATGCAGAGGGAAGTATTATGAATCAAACATACAAAATCTTAAGGGTGAGAACCCTAAGAGATGGTGGAGTGAAGCGAAACGTTTAAGTGGTATGAAAGAAAAGAACAGCGACCTGTCCAGTCAAATAAAAATCGACGAGTTCTCTAACTTTCCACAACGTGAACAGGCAAATATCATTAATACAGCTTTCTTGGAGCCCATTGAGGAGTACAGATTGGTCGTTCCACCACCATGCCAGGACTTGGAAGAATCAACGGAGGTCCTAACTGTGACAGAAATGCGCGTAGAGAAGGCCCTAGCAAAACTCAACCCTGGAAAAGCGTCTAGTCCTGATAACATTCCAAATTGGCTCTTAAGAGATTATTCCAGAATTGTTGCTCTCCCAATTATGAATATTATTAATACTTCATATCGTGAACAGCAATTGCCTGCATGCTGGAAGATGGCAGATGTATCACCACTGCCCAAGAAGAGGCGGGTAAGGACCTAAAGAAAGATTTAAGACCAATCTCGTTAACCCCTAGCGTATCCAAGGTTGTGGAGGGGTTTGTGGTTGAGGATTACGTGAAGCCTGCCATTTTAAAAGTTATCGACCCAAACCAGTACGGAACAATCCGGAATTCATCTACTACTATCGCGCTAATTAATATGTTACATCACTGGTTTTTAGGAACAGATGGAAATGGCTCAACCATTAGGACAATTCTGTTTGACTATCGTAAAGCATTCGACTTAATCGACCACGGTATACTGATTGATAAATTAAGCAGATTGGAATTATCTCCAAGTGTTATAAACTGGATAATTGATTTTCTCACCGATAGATTTCAAAGTGTTAAATTAGC